CGTCGAGCTGGCATTTTTGTCAGAAGCGCAGGTTCTCAACTTGACAGGTTGTAACTGGAAGCAACTCGACCTGGATTTGTATCAAAGGGAGGGCGAGGACGGCAAGACCATCCTGTACGGCGTGTACGTCCACTACAGCGATTTGCCGCCAGACTTTCCGTTGGTGGAGGTGCTTTCATGGCGCAAAGTGCGGTTCTACTCTCGCAGCAGCACTGCAGCCCTCTCGACCCACCTGACGCCAAGCAGACAGCTCCGTGCTGGTCAGGCCTTGCCCCTCATGAAGCACTTGGACTCCCAGACGAGCAAACCGCACGCAGACAAGCCCGGCTTTTTCCTGGCCAACATTCCCAAGCTCGGCGCCCTTATTGACAAGGGCAGTCGGAAGCTTGCTGCGAAGGAAGAAGCATTGGCCAAAAAAATGGCACAGGAGGAGGCTGCCAGGGTGGAGGAGAACGAGAGAGCGCAAGCAGCCAGCTCAGACTCAGGCGATGTTGAGGAAGTGCAGCAAAAGCAGGGTCGAGCCAGAGGGGGCGGTGGAATGCAGGGCGGAAAGGTGAGCCATCCAGATGGCAAGAGAAAGCGCGCTGCAAAGGCCAAGGCAGTCAGCGGGGACGCAGCCGCTGCAGCGAGCCCAGGCCCAAGCCGCAAGAGCGCCAAGGTGGCTGATGAGTCTGGTGAGAGAGCACCACCAGAGACGATGTCGGCTGCCGACATCAAGTCGAAGATGTCCCACGATGAAGAATTGATGAAGGTGTGCCTGACGTTGGGGAAGGTTCCTGAGTGCCTGACGAACCTTTCCCTCGAGCGATGCTTTACAGAGAACGTGGGCAACCAGCTCTTTTCGGTGCCTTGGCTCACTAATGTGAGGTTACCAGTTCCTGTTAGGTCCTGTTAGGTTACAATTCTGGCGGTCAGAGTCGGTTAGAGGTTCGGTTAGAGGTTAGCGTGCAGTGTTCCTCGGATCGAGTTGGGCCTTCAAAGTAGTCCTGTGTCTGTGTGTGCGCGTGTTAGCTAATTGATTTTTACCTGTTAGAACTAGATTGTTTTGTGCTCCTGGACTTCCCCCATTATTCCCTGAACTTGTGTACCCAATGTTGCGGTTTCTCGTTCAGTAAGGCAGGCATAGACATGGTCAACAGCGCATAGTAAACAGTATTGCCAGGCTCGCGCTGCCCTGCACCTCATGCCTGAAAGTTCATTGTGTTTACTATGCAAAGCGGCGTACATTGTATTGCGTGGGGTTTCTTGAAACTTTAGAGACAGCTCACAGTGTAGCGTGCGCGCACATGTTTAGGGTTTGGGAGCATATGAATTTGGGAGTGCGAAGTGTGACCATGTGTAGAGTGTAATGTAGTGTAGGTGTAGTTCTAGTCTGGTTACAGTAGTGCTGTAGCTACAGTGTTGGTTTCGTTTTTCGAAATCCATAGAGAAGCATCATCATAAGCATCATCATCTCAGGCAAAGAAGGTCGTGAAAGGCATGGACACCGAGAGTCGTGCGTGCGGAACCTTGAAGAAGCGCATCGCAAGGGCAGAGGCGGCTAGGACGTTGGCTGTCACACGCAAGTACACCGACCTACCCGCTGGTGAAGTGTCTGCCCTCGTGGAGCTTGTGACTTCAGCCCGTGTGGACTTGCCACCATTGGTTCAAGCCAGGCTGGTCGCTTGGCGAAGTGCAACAACCCTGCAAGCTCTAAAGCAGGACATTAGCAGGGAGGAGAACAGGAAGCTTGCCGCCGAGTATGCCAGCTTGCACCTCTTGGGCGAGGCCGAGACAAGCAATCAGGATCCCAAGTATGACCCCAGAAGCCCCCGATGGTGCGACGTCGTCCGAGCCGGTCTGGCCAAGGATGACGAGATCAACGCGAACCCAGAATCGGATAAGGATAACCTGATGGACTGGGAGGCCAGACATCAACGTTGTGGCTGTGACTGCTGGATTACTGTTGCCATCTTATCTTGTTGCTTGTCATTCATCACTCATACATACAAGCTGGTCTTAGCAATGCACCAAGCAGCTAGCAGCAGGTGAGTACAGCATCATGATAGTATTGTTTCTAATTACTAATACTAGTCACTAGTCATTTGTAACTATTACTAGTCACTAAGTCACCAGCGCACTGGCGCAACGGCAATCAGAATCATAATCTCTTTGTCCTTCCTACTTGCCATTTGTTTTCGTATAATAGGAAAATAAATGGGAAGTACGCAATACAATACAACACGACTGATTACGAGACTTGCTGCTGTCGCTACTCGCTATCTGGGTGTCAGTGGTGGTCATGTTGCTGCTGCTTTTGTTATTGACTGCTACTGCTACTGCTGCTGGTGTGCCAGTGACTGCCAGCTGCTAGTGAAGTGTGTTGCCGGTGCCGCTGCTACGCTGCTACTGAGTATATACTGCTTTGTGGTGGGCACTGGTGGTGGTGGTGGTAGTGGTGGTGGTGGTGGTGGTGGTGGTGGTGGCGGCGGCGGCGGCGGTGGTGGCTGTGGCTGTGGCTGTGGCTGTGGCTGTGGCTGTGGCTGTGGCTGTGGCTGTGGCTGTGGCTATGGCGGCGGTGGCGGTGGTGTTGGTGGTGGTACTGCTGCTGGCTGCTGCTCTGGCAATCTTTGTGGAAAGATTTTGGCGCGTGGGCTGGGGCAAAAAGATTTCTTTCTGCGTTGCTCAAGTTCTCTATTTCTGTCCGTGGCTCTGTCTCTGTATCTCTGTGTGTCTCTCTCTCTCTCTCTCTCTCTCTGTTTCTTTTCTTTTCTTGTTTTCTGTCTTCGCCTTGTGCCTGTAGCAGTTTGAGTTGAAACAGTGCAAAGGCAGAAGAGAGATTTCTTGTTGTCGGTTTTGTTGGACATGTCACAAGTTCGTTTTTTTTAAAACATTTGTCAGGAGTTTGCCGAGATGTACGTCGGCAGCTTTGCAAATGATGGTTTCCTCAGCGCTGTTGATGGGGCAGGCGAGGCGTATGTCAAGGAGGTCTTTGTTTTCGAGGCAGCGTTGTGTTCTGTGAGGGGGTGGGGCTTGTCAGCAAATGATCCTGATACGTCCCTTGAGTACTTGCCTGAGCACATGCAGAAAGCTGCCGCCCGCGTGATCTCCTTCAACAAGGCTGTAGTGTGTCTTCTTGACCCACAGCCCCAGTCTTTCGGATGCAGCGTGAAGGATGTGTTCAGCTTCGCGAGATATCAAGGCAGTGACGAGCCCGAGCAGTGCTTGGCAGAGAATCTCCGCCAGCCTTTCTGGAAGAGACGCTATGAGGCCGGACCCATTACCCAAACCTTAATGTAGTGCAGAGCTCACACTCGGCTTTAGCTGTAGCTGCTGTAACTAGCTGTAGCCGTAGCCATACCCGTGGTATTTCTGGATTCTCAGGAGGAACAAGCCTGCGCTGCCGCGGCCAAAACTTGGGCTGTGAAGCTTGAGGAGTTGATCGATGCTACGCAGGAGCTCTATGACATCATCATGGGCGAGCTGAAAGAGCAGCATGTTGGACCGAAGACTTACAAGGTCGAGGTCGGCATTGGATTTGTGACATCATCCATCAAGGTTCGAATGGACATGAAACCCAAGCTACGCGAGAATGCTTGCCATCGCTTGGATTCTGTGATGGTGTCACTGCTCAAGCTCGTTGTCGACCAAGTCACTGGCGAGGGGGATTTGGACTGGGCTTCCATTGGCAGCACCGCCATTGAGGACTTTTGTGCGATGGCGCAGGAGTACGTTGGGTTCCCAATTCTGTCGTCTTCTCTGGCCGGGCTACATGCCTGGAAGCAGGATCAGCAGCAGGCATTGAACAAGGCGGCCATGCAGAGCTTCCTCGAGGCATCGAAGAGCTGCTTGTCCAAGGACTTCGACATCCATGAGTGCCAGCGCTTGATTGACAACTTGTCCGTCGACCAGAAGTTGACAGAGCAAGAGCACATGTTCCTCAGTGGGTGCGTGCTTGGGCATCTGTGCCATCAGGCAGCCACAGCAGCATGTATTCATGAAGCTGTTGATTGTAGCTAATCTGCCAGCATTCGCCAGTCAGAGTCAGTCAGAGGTTAAAGAAATGTTTTCAGGCTAGCTCGTTAGTTTGCATGTCCCTCGGCAGCCACCCTTCAACGTTCCCAACATGTTCAACATGTCAAGACATGAGTGGAGTTGCATCAGCTATTACCTTTCCATGTGCAGGCTGACACTTGCGCCCGTTCTCCAGAGGAGGATTGCGTTCTTGAGTGGAAGCGTGCTTTGGCAGCGGCCCAGGCAATCCATGAGACTGCACGTGACTCCGAGATTGGGCACCCGTACGGCAAGTTCATGACAGCGCAATTTTCATTGCATACGCAGGCAATTGCGCTTCAGCAAGAGCACCTTCGGTTCTTGTCGCTTGGAAAATCCGCTTCAGCTTGCATCAAAGCTGATCGAACTGGACAAGCTGCGGATGCCCTGATCAGGGCATTGCAGGTCCTCAGTGCAGCGGTGGAGGCAGCTACCGTCCAGAATTTGCAGATGCCCGGTGTTGAGACTGCCAAGCTTGAGATGCCAGACTTTGGTGAGGGTAATGAGGGTGACGCGGGCAATGTTGATCGGCAGGTGGAAGAGAACAAAGACCAAGGCGAGCATGATGAGACCAAGCTCGTGAAAATCTTGTTGTCCCATGATTTTGCAGAGCGGGCCCTCCAGCGCTTGGGAGCCCAAGAGATAAGTCATATCTTTGTGGAAAAGACTGAGGGCTTCGTCAGCGAGCTCAATTTGCACATGGGCAAGATGAAGGATCTTTGCCAAGACAAGCAGATGGGGAAGGAGCACCATTGGTGGAAGCTGATTGCAGAAGGCAAAGAGCAAGATTTTGACCACATCATGGAGGTAGCGAACGAGGCTTTGTCCGAAATCGATGGTGACAACCTTGCTGCTGTCATTGACTCGGTCGAGAAGGCCTCATGATACCTCAAAGCCCATGTAGCCAATGCACTAGTGACATTAATGTAGCAAATGTATTCGCAGCTTTGTTGACTGCGATTGTTGAGGCAAGTGAAGCGCTGAAGTTTGGCTTTGGCAAGTTCCGCAAGATCATCAAGCATTTCCACAACCCGTTCCTCATGGGAGTTGGCAACATCCACAAAGAGGCGCTGCAGGAGATTGCTGCGGCGAAGGCATTCATTTGCGAGGGGTACATTGTGAATGGCTTGGGCATGGACAACAAGAAGGAGCAGAGGATTTTGATGAACACGCAGTGGGAGGAGCTTTCGGCAGAGCAGGTTGATGTTCAGATGGTGCAGCCCGCGCTGTACCAAGGGTTGGTTTCTTTTGTGGGCAAGTCCCAGGCAAAGCGTGGGACGAAGTAGGTCCCGCCGAATGATGCAATGTAATGATGCATTACATTGTACTGCAAGAGCCCTTTGTGAGCATTTGCGCAGTGAAAGCTTCAGAAACTTGAGTGATCATGGTCGATAGCAGGTAGCCACTAAGCAGCTAGCTTGAAAGCTCGCGCAACGCACGCTTTTCGATGTTCCTCGGACTCGCTGCCATTATAGTCATGGCCAGTCCACCTACCACAGCTGACTGATCACTGAAGGCATTGTTCAGTGACTAGACCCATCCATAACTACTAGCTATAGATACATCACGTTCAAGCCTCACTAGTTTCATCACTTATGGTTCACATACCACAAGTGGAAGCTGGCTGTGGTGGCTCTGACACAGCTCACGTTTGTGTGACGCTTGGCAAAACAATGGACAAGTGCATTTAGATTGCTGACTGCTTTGTGTTCCGTGGCCCCCACCCAGCAACAGTTGGATAATCTCGATATTGTTTAGATGTATACTATAACCCTTAATGATCTCAGTGGTCCCCCTATTATAGGCTGTGACTGGTTGGGGGTAGGGACTCAATGCATTCCTTGGATCCTGGGCTCCTTGCTATTAGCTTCGAATTACCTCTAATTCACCTTTTTGGTTTACCTTCCGAACACCTTCAACTCACCTTTAATTCACCTTTTTTTTAAAACCTTGGTTTTGCTGGTCTCCATATGCTTCCCCGTCTCAAGCTTAATTACTACATCGCAGACAAGAAGTCAGTCGTTCGAAGGAAGAGGCTGCCAATCTTACTCTCCAACCCCAAGCCCTAAGCCCCAAACCCACCCCAGTTGTTTCAGGAGCGCAGGGCACGAGCAGCTGCAGCCGCAGAGGCGCGCGCAAGCGGCGCACCTTCGTTGAATTCAAGGTTGAGGTGTAGAGATTAGGGTTGGGGATTTTGGGTTCAGAGGTTGTGTTTTGAGATTAAGGGTTTAGAGCTTGTGGTTCTGGAGTTGTGCAGGTCTCTCCATCCAGAAATCTCCTCTATCAACTAGAATGAAATTTAGGCGTATGTATGGTGCTAAAACCCGTGCGTTGTTGTTCATGTATCGAGTGCGCAACATAGGCTTCCAAAGTTGTTTTTATGGATGTGCGAGAGCGCAGCGAAAAGTCTGCGAAAGGCTTGGACATATGGTCTATGTTGGACTGCTGGGGAATGATACAGAGTTCCAGTGTGCTCGCAAAGGCATGAAAGCTTTGCCAAAGGCGGGCGGTTGATGGGCTTCGCAAAGGGGATCTTGGCACAGCCTCCTCACATGTTATCATAGGTTCCTTCTTCTCGGAGGTAGGGCGACCTGAATCTCCTTATCATAAACATGGCGTAGGAGGAGTGTATAGCGACCATTAAACTTCCAGCATCCCTTGTGACGGCATTGAGCGGGTAGTAAGGATAGGGATTTCGCGCTTCGCATGTTTCTGAAACTTCAGACTTTCAGCAGCTTGGGCATTGGCATGTGTAGCCTGTTTTTCTGATAAGAAGGGGCCGAATCCTAAACCCTCAACCTGGACCTAGTAATCATGAAAAGCAACCCAGGCGAGCGGCACGAGCGGCACAGGCCAGGAGAACCTTGGGACGCATGTTCTACATTCCGGAGGTTCTCAGAAGAGGGTGAAGGCTCAAGGGTTGAACGCATCAAGTTCTCATAGAAGGTCCCATCATCTGTTGGGGTTATTTAGGCGGCCCCCCTGAAGAAGGCAGCCTGTTCTGAGAGAACACGATTTGTCTCATGATTGAGCAGGGGTCATCTTGCTAGGTACTCTCTCCGAGAGACGGATTACTGTTTTTCTTCGGCTTCTTGTGTTGCGTTTGGTAGCCAAGGCCGAGATGTATGTTGGTAAGAGTCTACGTGTTGATAGTGGCGTTGTAATGGCTTGGGCGCTTGGTTCCAGTTTGCCCAGGGGCAGAGTTTCCCAAAATGCCCCGCAAACGACTTATAAAGCTCTAAACCCTAAATAGTAGTTTCCATTTCATTTTCCATCATCCCACTATAACCTGAATATAACCCGTTATAGTAGTTTCCATTTTATTTTCCATAACCATAATATATCCCCAACATAACCCCATTATAGTAGTTTCCATTTTATTTTCCATTATCCCACTATAACCCCAATATAACCCCCGTATAGTAGTGTCCAGTATATTTTCCATTATCCCACTATAACCTCCATATAACCCCAATATAATCCCAATATAACCCCAGTATAGTAGTTTCCATTATATTTTCCAATATCCCATTATAACCCCTAATACCCCTAATATCACCCAAATGTACCCCAAACCCGAAGTCCGAAAGCCGAACATTGTCCAGTAAGCAAGTTTTCAAGACGGGACATCCTGGATCTTGAGACGTTCCCGATGGATTTTGGTGGTTAGTAGGGAAAAAGGGGATGTGTTATACAGTGGGGATCATGTAGGAATTACTGTATATTCCATTGCCCCCTACTACCCACCAGCAGGTTTTGTCAAAATCCGAGGAAAGGTGCGCCATCGATCGCACCAAGTAGCGCACCTGTCGTGCCAAAGATCCAACAACCCCTGGTTGCAAGAATGGATGCCTTGATTCACGTGGTCCACTGCGTTTTCATTGGCCATGGCTACACCAGCGAAGCCAAGCAGGAATGCTGCGGCCACTACCGGCTGCATTACGTGCATGAGCAGAAGCCTCAAATTCGCGTGGCTAGATCCAGTTCGTGAGACATTGTGCGCTTTTTCTCCAGAAGACAGGGATTTACAACGGACAGAACTCCTGATCGTTGTTGTTCTTGGCGTCCCAGTTGTGTAAATCCATGCCAGTCTACGTAGGGAATAACCCATGATAGGACCAGGCACCATCCAATAGTCTGTTAAACTGACTCTGACCAGCGTAGCGAGATATACCTAGCTAACGCCAAGGTGACCTACGTCCCGCTGCAACGTCATCTTGTGACTTATGCAGCTTTCGACCACTTCGAGAACCCTCTCAAGGCTACTGTCCAAGTGGGCATGCCAGCAGCTGCAGTTCAAGCAAAGATTGACTACTTGTCACTTGGGCGCAAGTCAAATCATGAGCTTTTTCTTGGGGATGCCCAAGACTTAGGGTTTAGGGTTTAGGTTTTAGGGCTTAGGGTTTAGGGTAAGGCTTCCATAGAAGGGCAAGTTCCAACACCAAAACTCTGCTGTGAACCCTAAGCCTTGCAGCTAGGTCACCCCAGTCCTCGCGCCCAACCCCAACGAGCCCAAGACCTAGTAGTGAATCGGACAAATGCTGTTACCTCGAAAACCCCATGGCTCGTCCATGTTAAACTTAAACTGATTAAGCCCCCCTTACCCGTAATATTCAATCGGCACCAAGCACACAATGCCCCTTATCATGAACATTGAATGTAATTGGCGTTGAAAATTAGTCTGAGGGGATTCTGAGCCCTTAGCCTTAAGCAATACTGCTATATGACTCTGACGAGAAAGATGTGAGGGTTTCCCTAAATTAAGGGTACCTTGTTGGGGGTCCCCATAGTAAGAACTATAGTATATCAGGGTCTACATTGGGGTCCCCCTATTTGGGAAACTACCATTGAATGTCCAGCGCTCAGGCTGCTCTATCCTCTGCTGTATCGCCAGTGCGTGCCCATGCTGACCATGACGCCACCGGAGGCTTTGTTTGGCTTCATCTGCCCCTGGCACCAAAGGGGACAGCACAAATAACTTTAACGTGCATGCACGAATAAAGATATCTGCACATGTATACTCATCTGTATTCTCATCTAGAATATAAGGGCGGATATGCGGGGATGTATGGGGATGCGTAGTGTTTCCGGGCAAGAGCTTCTTAAGACGGTGGTCCAGCTTGAATATCTGTGTACTTTGGTCTCCATTGTGCTTCGATATTTTGGGGGTTTCTGAAGCCCTGAGCTCCAAACCCCATACCCTAACTAAACCCTAAACCCTTAGCCGTAAACCTTAAACTCATAACACGTCGTTTGCAATTTTTGCGGGGCTTCGGTAGAAGCAGTAACAGCTGTTCCGACATTTAACCTGTGATGGGGGTCTCGCGGTAGGAGCTTTAGGGTTTGGGGCTTAGGGTCTAGGGTTTGGGGTTTAGGGTTCAGGGTTTGGGCCTTAGGGTTTAGGCTAAGGGTTTGAGATTTAGGGTTCAGCATCTCAAGTCCAAGCATTTTTTTGTTAAGCAACGTTATCCAATAACCGCAAAAATTCCCACCCGCCCATTGGCTCCCACAGCATTAAGACACTTACGACATAAACCTTAAATCCTAACCCTGAAGCCCAAAATCCAGAATCCTAAGCCCTGAGCCCTAAAGCCCGAACCCTAAAACTCGAACCCTCAAGCCCAAGACCCTACAGCCCGGTCCTTGAAGGCCGAACGAACCCTAGACCCGAACCCTAGAGCCAGAACACTAGAGCCAGAACCTAAAGCCAGAGCCTTAGAGCTCAAACCCTAGCGCCCGAATCCTAGAGCCCAACCCTAGAGCCAGAAGCCTGGAGCCCGAAACTTAGAGCCAGAACCCAGTAAGGGGGGCCGACTGGGCCAATGCCCAGTAAGCAGGTGCGCCAATGCCCAATAAGGAGGCGGGCCAATGCCCAGTAAGGAGGTGGACTAATGCCCAGTAAGCAGGTGGGCCAATGCCCAGGCACTCCATTAAGGTTTAAATATAATGTAGGTAAGAGAGGTTTAGGGTTTGGGGCGTAGGGTTTAGGGGCTTAGGGTCTAGGGCCTAGGGCGTGTTGCTCTACATGCGTCTGGAGGACGATCCAGCCCCAAAGTCATGTCCACACCTGGCTCTACTCTACCCTCATTACTTGTTCTTAGTAGCTGAGTAGACAGCCTTCCATTACCCTTTTTGGTAAAGTCAGTGCCAGATAGTTTTGCCTAGGCAAACCATACGGAGCCCTCATATATCCTAGTGTCCACGCAAGCCCTACATGAGCCTCATGTAAGCCTGGTACGTATCCACCTCACAACGCCCTTCGTCTCACGATAAGGACCCCAACTCC